TGTTTCTGTTTTGTGTAGGAAAACTGAATTGGATCATTCAATCACCAATCCCTGTGGAATCGACCTCGCACTTACATACGCTAAACTACCAACGGTTCGTGCACTTGCGAGTATCACAAGTTGAGGATGCAGCTGAATCCATTTTGGTGCAGCTGTATCTACGCAACACATAGTGCGAAATTCTGAAAAGAAAAACAGTTAAGTCAGGCATAAGTAAAACAGTCTCTTACCGAACGGAAGACAATGCCGCTTGGACGATGAGGGATGGACGGCGACGACTCAACAGGCACGTTGGCAGCGGCCTCTTCGGCAACCTTCTCGGCGGCCTCTTCGGCAGCTTCCTCAGCGGCCTCTTCGATGGCCTCCTCGGCGCCCTCGTCGGCAGCCTCTTTGGTCGCCTCGGCGGTAGCCTCTTCGGTGGCCTCGTCGGCAATCCCTTTAACAGGTGGCACTTCTACAGACGCAGTCTCAGCGTCCAGCATTTCAACCACCTCATCAGCGGCCGCCTCCTCAATCGCCATCTCGCCCGCGGCCTCCTCTTCGACTACCATCTCGGTAGTAGCTATTTCCTCGACCGGCATCTCGGCCGTTGCTTCCTCCTCGACCACCACTTCATCCTAAGGAAATAACCAAATTACCAAAGTGAATAAAGAAGGGTGGGGGTGACTTGGAGAATAGAGAAAAGAGGAAGAATCAAGAAATCCTTACGGTCACGGGGGGAGCTTCACTCACAACCATAGGGGGGACTTCTCCCTCACCTCCGCCCTCCGAGAAAGCAAAGAGGGTCCTTCTTCTCGGCCTCTTCAAGGCTGCCGTCTCAGCCACGGCACTCTGGGCCGGTGCGGCCTCGACCGTTGAGGCCTCGGTACTTGGCGCCTCTCGACCCCTCTTGTGACCCGGGGCTGCGTACACGAAGAAAAGAAATAAAAAGAGGTGAGGTAACCAAAGACAAAAGCGTCTTAGAGAGGCCGACAAACAATAATGATAAATATGTAAAATAAGCAAAGTGTACCAACGGCAGTGATCGGTCGAACCGGCGGGGAAGACGGCACGGTCCTGTGCGCCAGTGTTTTTCGAGCCCTCACTAGAGGCATCGCCCTGGGAGCTGTGGCCGCAGTCGGGGATGGGGCCGCGGATGAAGCCACGACCGTTGTTCCAGCCGAGGGAGGGGACGTCACCTTGGGGGCAGCCACGGCCGGGGTACTCGGGCGAGGAGGCCCGGCTGATACCTTCTTCACTTTGCTGCCCTTGGAGAGGAGAGGATCCCAGTCCGCATCTTCAAGGCCCCCCTCACGGCCTCTTCAACAGGCCGAATAAATCTGGCCAAGATACATTCCTCGTACCAGACCCTCCCATCCTCGTCATAGGCATTACGACGCAGCCAAGGCGTCAGAGTGAGGAAGGTCATCCCCCTTTGCAGCTGGAAGGTTATGCCAGCTACGCCGTGCTGCTGGGAGACCTCGGCCCTCCAGGACGAGAGCCGGTTGGTTGACAGAGGGGGGAGCGGGGTTGTCTGGATTAGGCCGAACTGCCGCGCCACGTAGTTTGGCAGATAAACTTCGGTCCCAGTCTTGGACAAGCCGCAATGAAGGTCGCGCGAAACCAGGAAGGAGCCCCAGATCTCCTTCAGATTGTTCTCCGTCTCAACATCAGGAATGACGGAGATGTCGTGAGTTAGGAACAGGGGGAACGGCTGAGCAAGGCAGACTCGAAACTGCACACCAGTCCTCTCGGTTAAGCCGTAGAAGAATTTGTAGCAGAAGGCCGTGGTATTGTGCTTCTTGGGGGCTCGGGCGAATGCATTGGCCAACGGCTCGTTGTCTTTGGGACTGGCCACCCCCCTCAGTTCTGGGAAGTAAGCTTGCAGCCAGAACTGGAAGGCCCACAGTGGGCCGCCGTGCTTCGGCTTCATCCCATCGGTAACGATGTCATGAAGCGTGCGGTAGATGTGGCCGAGCAGGAATGGGCCGAGCGCTACCCTTCCGCCCTGCGCTAGATAATCGGCCAAGTGGGCGAACTACACGGTGACCTTGTTCGCCTGGGTGCAGAAAACGAACTTGCACAACCAGTACAGCAGAAATGCGGCATGCTCAACTTCGCCCAGGGGAGCGATGGCGTCACCTTCGGCGCTGTCCTCTACGCCAAAATTGCTGTAGAAGCTGGAGTAGTTGAGCATGTTCTTCGCCTTTCTCCTGGCGACTCTCGTAAGAGTGGGCCACGTGGCTTTAAAGCTCCCTTCCACCTCAAGAGCAACGAGCGCGGCGTTCACTTCCACGCCGAGAGGAGAAAGGCCGAACAAGGCGGCCATGTCTAGAACGGTCGGCGTCATGCCGAACTGAAAGTTCATGGTATTGGTGGCCGAAGACCAGAAGCACAGGGCCGCGGCCAAAAGCGACCGATTCATGACAAGCGGCCGATCGAATAGCTTGATCAAGTGGTAGATGCCTTGATCTTTCCATTGCTGACCGAAGAAATGCTCCATCCTCGGCAGCCATTTTTCCCAGTCTGAAGTCACAGTTGGCCATTGTTGCTGCGGCCTAAGGACATTCCAGTCCTGGATGTCCCCCCCATCAAAGGCCGAGAGGTCCACCAAGTTGTTCTTCAAGTGGGCCACAAGCCTCTCTGGCATTCCGCCATCAATAAAGGGGCCGAGGAGGCAGGAATCGGTGGCAGCACCATCATCATTAGTCCAGGGCGAAATGATGTTGGGCAGGACCGAGCCCTGAATTTCTTGGCAAATGCCTTCAAACTCCGTATGGAAGGCTTGAGACCGAGCTTCAACAGCGGCCTGACAACGTTCCAATCTGGGAAGTCCCCCCCGTCAAAGGCCGAGTGGTCCACCAAGTTGTTCTTCAAGTGGGCCACAAGCCTCTCTGGCATTCCGCCATCAATAGAGGGGCCGAGGAGGCAGGAATCGGTGGCAGCACCATCATCGTCAGTCCAGGGCGAAATGATGTCAGGCAGGACCGAGCCCTGAATTTCTTAGCAAATGCCTTCAAACTCCATATGGAAGGCTTGAGACCGAGCTTCAACAGATGTGGAGGTACTGGAGGCCATTTAAGACATATATGAATTGGGTGTTTAGAAGGAGAATGCAGAGAAAAGGCGGTGAATCGTGAAGAACACTGGAAGGGAATCCAGAAAAAGGTAAGGGTTTGCAGGTGTTTGAAAAGGCCAAGAGGCTCAAGAGTAGAAAGGGTCGTGGTTTTAAAGCGGGATTCTTTGGTAAAACTGGAAATTCGAGAACTTGGTAATCTGAAGGTTTGAGAGAAAAGGTTTTTTGGCAAAGCTTGGGCGTCTGAGAGTTCTGAAAGCGTGGAAGTCTGGGTTTTTATATTGGCTCTAGAATTCGAAATGACGTGTCTCTCTCGAGAGACGTAACGTTCTGTCAGCACGCTCAACAGGCGCAATGACGTGTCAAGAGCCCAGAGGCCGTCGTTTCCTCTGACAAAACGAAGCGACACCCTAGGCAATGATGGCCTACACGACGTGCTTGAGGCATTAAATGCGCCGGCTGGCCTGCGCATTTAATGCCCCAGTTGTCAATCACTTCAGAAGGAATGCAAAGGGTCCATCCCTTGGAATCCATTCGGTCCCTACCCATGCCGAGGCTGAAGAATCTAGGGATGTGGGGGCAATGTTTATGCCTAATAAATCACGGCCATGAGCTGGCTGAAGGAGCCCCTTTTCTCGGCCCTGGCACTTGCTCGTAAAACTGAAACGCAGCGTTTCAACA